CCATTTATCAGGAACCCACTCTCAAAATAAGTAAACTTCTGCCAAGTAATGACATAAATCTATTCATGAGGGCAGAACTTCATGCCCTAATTACCTCTTAAGGTCTACCTCTTAATACTGTTATGGTAGGGATTAAGTTTCCAACACATGAACTTTGGGGAACATATTCAAATTATTACTCTATCTAAATCTATTATGATATTTTAAAATAAAGAACTTAAAATGTATTTTTTAAACTTTTTCTTCCTCAGTACTTTTACATTGTAGTCTTTTTGAGGAAGTATGAATTTGTTTGGGATAATTTTTGTGAAATAATAGTTACATTAACAATAACTTACATTTTAACAGAGTCAGCAGCTTTAAATTTTTCTAGTACTACTTTGATTCAGAAGTTGCACAATACCTCTTGAGGATATTTTCATTTAGTAAAAATGAGGACACAGACGTCCAGATTAATTGTTTGCCTAAGGTCTTATATCAAACCAGAAGCAAATCTAGAGTAGGGGCTTGGATAGTTTTTGACTTTAGGTCATGTACTTACTTTTGTTTTGAAATTGTTCATGTCCATGTGTTGAGTTGTTAAAGCTGTGATATGAGATGGCTAGGCTAAAAGAATCTTGTTGCAATTTACATTTGAAAAAATTAGGTCTCTGGAAGTTTTGTGGCTTGAAGGACAAAAAGTATCCTTAAAATTGGCCTAATTTCTATTTTAAGGAACGATCATAACTAGTCATTCCTCTTAAAAATGTATGTGCATTGCTCCTTTGTTTTCTTTTACAATTTCAGAAATCTTTTACTACAATTACTGAGCAATCTATGTAGAAAAATTTCAAAATATCTAAACAAAGTCTCTCATGCTTGAGCTTATTCTATTCTGTTCTCATAACAAGTGTAGGCATAGATAACTGTCATCCTTCATATAAAAATTCTTTCTAAACTTACATAACAACATCTTTTAACTGAGTGGCTGCATTTTTATTCCATAAATGTTAATAGCCTGCTGTGAGCTAGTTTTATACTGGTATGCTTAAAACATGGGGTTCTCATCCTTTGAAGACTTCTGAATCCTACTAAGATGTGAGAGAACGGTGCAAGTTTCCTGTTGATCTTCCAGTCTTAAATGCTGAACAAACAGAGAGTGAAGGGGGTGGGGCATTAGTGCAGGGAGGGTAAGAAGCTTAGGCCTCTATCAGGAATAACAATTTTTTTTCTCTCCAATTAAGTTGAGATTTATGTGTAACATAATAATTTTGATAGAATACATAATGTACTTTGTATTTGCTTTAGTCAGTTACTTATTTATAAATTTTATTTTCTTCTCTACAAATGCAAACTTTATTACAGTAGTGAAGTTTGGCAGTACTTTAAAGCATTTAGCTTATTTTATAGACTATTTTAAGGAAGAATTAGAAAGCAAGTTGATACTAAAGTAGTAAATAGATGCTATTAGCTCTATAAATTTGAGTGTTTCAAACTTTGTTACCAAAGATCATCTACTTAAGGTTTTCTCTTTTTGGCCAGTATTTCTGCCTACATTTAAAAATTTTAATCTTCACATGTTCTGGTCTCCAACCATGCAACCAAAGGGCAAATAGGGAAGAAAGTTAAAATTCTTTGGTGATACTTTGCTTATCATTTTTCCTTCTTTTTCCCTCCTAAAACTTTACCATTCTATGGATTTGTAATTCTCTCTTTATATTTTCATCTTTGGATCCAGTTGGACTATAAAACATCCATTCTCATTGTGATGAAAATTGTGTGTAAATTTAAGAAATAATTTATGTTGTATTAATAAGAAAGAAAGTTTGGGAAAATTTATTGTTTTAACTTTAAAGATATTCTTAGTAAAGATGAGGCAAGTCCTATACTCATGGATCTTATTGCTAAAAAATACCTTATAGATGGTTTGGTCCAACATCAAGTAACAACTTTCTTAGTTTTATTTCAATCTTATGCATTCTCTTTCTGTGCCCCTGTGCTATCTCCCCCTCCTACTCAACATCATTTGAACATATCCATATCTTTGAATCATTCAAACACTGGCCTCTACCACTCACATTGTTCCTAACTCTGCTTTTGCAGTAAGCTTCTTCCTTTTCTTCTTCATGGGGAATTATCTTTGGAATGTTGCTCAGTTTGGGTCTTGATATTTCCTCATGATTTATAATTATGCAGTTTTAGTACGACTACTATAGAAGTGATAGGTTTATTTCAGGGCATCATATTAGAAGTCTAGTATGTGACCTCTACTGTGTAAATGTACTTGTATGCATTTTACTCTAGAGAAGAGGTGCAAGCAATATGGATCAGGTTTTCAAGAGGACATTACATGGTATTATCTTTTCTCAACTTTGTGGTCACAATACCTCCATTAGAGTAGACGAAAGAATGCCTTTGTATATTTGGCTCCTGTTTCTGATCCCTCTACAAGGCTTATCCTGAAAATATTCAGTAAGTAGTAGACCAGAGTCTACCTGAGGTGCATAAAAGCAGAGCTGCAGTGTTTTTTGTTGTTCTGTGTTGTCCAGCCTTTGTTTTCTCAGGCCCCATAGTTGGCTAACCACTGAATTTTGATTGGTGGTTCTAATTTTACCTCAGTGAACATGAGTTTTCAAACTTATGAAGTTTTAAAAAGTCCAATACAGTATTTAGTCTATTATATACAAAGATTGATTAAAAAAAAACCCCTTCAGGTTTTTAAGAAATAATATTGCCCAGGTTATGATAACTTAATTAGTTTCTTTTTTAAAAAATTCTGAGCTATGCTTTCTTGGACTAAATAAATTTTTGTGAAAGAAAGCTTAATTGAGACCTTACCTGAAACATGAATTTTTATAAAAAAGTAATTTGTATTTGTTTTTTTTAATATCCCAGAAGCTTTGTCTTTTATATAGCTAGCAAAATGAGATTCTTGGTTTTGTTTGTTTGTTCCTTAGGAACTTCTAAGTCATCTCTATCCATGCATTTAAAAATTAATAAAGCTACAGAAGAGAATTAAAATATATAAAGTAATGGTAGATTTGAAAGATTCCATGAATTGTTTTTATTCTTAAAATGGGATGATTTTAGACTAATATGATTTATTAAAATCTGATTATTTTATAATATCACAGACACCTGAAATAAACTAAGCCCTATTATACTGTGTAAAATCCAGTGGTTTATTAAAAGGAAGCAGCCTGCAAGCTTGATTAAACAGTGCTTATTTGCTCCTCTATTCTTGAAAAATCAATACTTTATTGGTCCAGAAATTTCCTTGGCTATGGATATGGAGAAGGAGAAGGAGAAGGAGAAGGAGAAGGAGAAGGAGAAGGAAGTAGGGAGATGTTTTCCCCCTTTCATAAGTTTAGCTCCTTTTATGGGCTGATTATAATTACTAAAGGGAAATTAAATTTTGAGTAAAGAGGTCACTTTAATTAAACACAGATTTTTCTAGTAAAGCAATATGATATGTACATGGATGGGAGAAATCACATGCAGTTCATTGTCACAAAAGTACCACATGTGAAGCAACTAATGTCAGGAAGTGACACTAGAGATCCTGTAGTATGATAGGCTTATCTGACCAGTTAAGGAGCTTGGACTACTATGGAGGAGATCTGAGATTTAAGAAGGACCTGAGCTTGGGGTATAGTAGAAAGGGATGAGTTCAAGAGATATTAAGGAGGTTAAATCGTCAGAACATGTAGATGAATGTAAGAGGTAAGATAGGAATCAAGGGTCCTATCATGGGTGAATGGTTTTCCCATCTTAAATAGAAGAGAAGCAGATTTGCAAGGAGGGGGAAGGATGTGCTCAGTGTTGAGCTGAAGAGCTTGTAGGGTCTGAATGGAGCCATCATGTGATAGAACCATATGGTCTGCAGTTTGGGTTCTGGAGATTGGGAAATCATTAGCATAGAAGTGATGTTTGGAACTGTGTGATTCAGATTAATGAGGAAGTATCTTGTAGAGTAAGAAGTGCTGTGGGTTAAAGATATAATTCTGAACATCACCTTCATTTAATGGACAGACAGAAAAAGAGAGACTTTTTCTAAGAGCATGCAATGTCATGAGACCAAAGAAAAAGCCTTTTAAGGAAGGAGTGGTCATATAAATTTAGCACCATTAATCTTGTTTGTTGTTCAGTGTGCAAAAGAAACATGATTGAAGGTTTCCTTTTTAAAGCTGATTTCCAAGGATTTTTTATGAAGAAGTTTTAGTTCATATTTTGTTTTTATTCTACATTGTTCAGGACCTGCAAGTTAAAGGAGAATTTTAATATGTGTGTATGTGTGTGTGTGTGTGTGTGTGTGTGTGTGTGTGTGTGTATAACTATAATACCAATAAATTACTGAAGATATATACAATATCTTCAGTAATTTATTGGTATTATAGTTTTCCTGTCTCTCACCATTTGGGAGTCTTTTATTTCTCACTTTTCTCTACTACTAATTTTCTTAAATTTATTAGAATACTTACAGTACTGGCTAAGTCAGTATGTTGTAGGCTACTGTAAAACCTCCATCCACCTTCAGGTTCGACCTGAATTCTTTTGAGGATGACTCATTTATAAACATTATGGTCTTCAAGCCTTCTCACCTAGTTTATTTGATCTTCACAAGAAGCTTGCAGAACATTTAGGGCAGATTACTTTCTTTATTTGCCTCTTCTAATTTAAGGAATCTGCTCCCTTGTTTAATTATCTTACCAGTTCTTAGGTAGCACTTAGTTTCTATTCCTTTGGGTTCATAATCTAAGATGTTAATGCCAAAAGGAACCCTAGAGGACATCTCTTTCAATGTCTTTTTTTTTTTACAAGTGAATAAACAGGCACAAATAGGTAAAATCGCTTGTCTAAGATGGCATGGGCAGAAAAAACTAAGATTGGAATTTAGCATTCCTGATTCCCAGACCCTATAACAAGAAATGCAAGTATAGTTTGCAGTACATGTAAAATTAGGTCAAGGCCTTCTGCTATCTTTAATATTCTCATTTTGCTCTTATGTGTTTTGGAAATAGTGTGCAGTTCGTGCTGCCACAGAAGGCAGAATTCTCATTTTGGAAGGCTTGGAAAAGGCCGAGAGGAATGTTCTGCCTGTATTGAACAACTTACTGGAAAACAGGGAGATGCAGCTTGAAGATGGACGCTTCCTGATGTCTGCTGAGCATTACGACAAACTTCTGCAAGTAAGAGAAGAAAAATCCTCCTGCTTTGTCTTTGTTGTCAAACTGTGGGTAGTGTCAACTGTGGGTGGTGTGTCATATAAAACACAGTTCTCTTGGAATCAGGACAAGTGTTCATTCAGATGGCCCTTATCTTTGGCAAATGAGTTTGCAGTTTTACAAGGCTGTACTTCTGCAGACCATGTCAGAGACCTCTGAGATTTCTACAGTTTCTTTTTTGTCAGTTTAATAACTATTTTCTCTCTTAACACATTTTTCTCCTTTTCCCCCCTTTTCTTTGCTCAACAATGTAAAATTCTAATGACTTTTAGACAGTGCTCAATAACTTTTGACACCAGTGGTTTTGATTGAATTCATACTTCGTGGCATCTGGGATACAAAGCTGAATAAAGTTCACTTCTTAGCCTCCTGAACCTCAAACCCCAATAGGTATTGACCAAAATGAATATGATATTTAAAAGACACCCTGATGGTCCAAGCCAGGAACATCTCATGCCTGGCTTCTAACTGGATTCCCTGTTCAATTCTTATTCCTTCATACAGCAGCTAACGATTGCTTTAAAACATGCATCAGATTTTACCAGATTGGGTCACTCCTGTGCTTGACCTTACGGGCTTGCTCTTCAATTCCTTTATAATGGAATTGAATGCTCTGTATGATCTGGGCCCTTACCCAGATCATATCTTATCCTGCCTCTTGTCCTTCTGTCCTCCACCTCTTTTACTTCACTCTAGCTACTAGTATTCTCTTTACCTTAAATCTGCTAAGTAGGCATTCTATTTTCAAGCCTTTGCACAGGTACTTACCTCTTCCAGAAATGTTTATTTCCCCAGGCATTTACTTGGCTTGCTCCTCTAACTTAATCAAGTGTTCAAATGTTACATTGTCAGTGAAGCCTGCCCTGACCCCCCTATTTAAAATTGTAATTTGCCCTCTGCTTCTATACACTCTAACCCTACTCTGTTTTGTTTTTCCATGTTGTCTTCTAATATCCTATATAACTTGTTTACTATTATCTGTCTCCCTCTACTAGAATATAAGTTTTGCAAGTACAGGGATTTCTTTTTGCTAATGTTTCTCAAATTCCTTGAACAATGTAGTGGGTGTTCATTAATTATTTGTTGGATGGATAAATAAGTAAGTAAAATTAAATGCTGTGCAACAAGTACAGGATATGGGGCTCTTCAAAAGGCTTTGGATGTGTCATTTAATGTCATAAATGACAAGAAGATGCTTAGTCCTTATTCATTTAGCTCAGGCTGTACCAAATTGGAGCTGTATGTGCTAACAGCCTTCTGTGACTGATTGTTCTGCATCGACATTCTAGGACTCGGAGGCTTTCTCACACCTTTTCTGTGCAGATACATATATGCTAATCTTATTGGCCAATCACTCAAGAGCAAGACCTGTTTCTTATATTTCTTGATCCTGCTCTCGGGGTGCAAATACAAGTCCAGAACACATGAGGCACTAAATAATAGATGTTGATGCCAGAGGGTCTGATTGAACTGATGTTCCATGGCTGGTAGAACCAGGAGCATCTTTTTCTGATCCCTGCTGCCCAAAGCTATTTCTCTATAACAATCTTGCAACCCTTTTAGTAGTGGGTTTCTTTTCTGTCTGTGAGAGTTTTTTGATGGTGTTTTTCTTATGCAGTATAGTAATTTCCATCTAGATCTATCTAAAGGTCATCTAATTCTTATACAATTAGAAAGGGATAATGGAGGTTCTAATCAATAAGAAGAGCTAAATTTTATTCCTTCATTTTGCTATAGTTCACGTACTGAAATGAAGACTTTTTTTTATTATTTGTCTGTAAAAGAAGGTGAAAACATGCAGGTCACTTTCTCTTTAGACACTTTTAAATTTCAAAATAATTGTTTTCTCCTAAAAATTATACTATTCAACCTTTTAGGACATGATTTGGAAAAGAATACTACTTAGAATGTGGAATTGTATGTTTTAAAAGCAAAAGCATCACTTCACAACAAAAAGTTTGATATATTCTTTATTCTTAGAGTAGAATTCTGCACAAAATTATTGAACCTTTTATTTTGGGTAAAAACTTGCAACATGGGAGTCAAAAGGGTTCAGTTATGTAGGGAATGCTTATAATTAAAAGAGAAAGATTTTTTCCCCTCAAAGAAGATATTAGTATAAATACATAATTTTTATTGGTAGATGTTAATTCTGTACTCATATGAGATCTGTCTCATGAGAATATCACAGAATATAGGCAAGATCTCTTTTTGAAACTTTTACATCTTAAGGCAATTTCTATGGTAAACAGATTCCAACACCATAATTTAAGTCCCACTTATTTCTAACTAGACTCAATATACTGAGTTTTAATATCTCAAAAAGTGTATTTTTTCACAGAGGTAATGGTTGTAGAATTTTGTTATTATATAAATAATCAGTCTGTATAAACTTTATATGTATTCTAATTATCACTTTTAGGTAAATGAAAAACAGAAATGTTTGATTCTCTGGAGGTTGTCTTGTTGGTTTCTCAGACAGGGCTGGATCCAGACTCTTGTTTTCTAATGTATGTAACATAGTGTTAATCATATGTAACATAGTGTTACTTGGTTAATTTATGAATTGTGATCTTTTTATTATCATTGAAATAATCATGTTTCATTTTTTAAAAATTAATTCATGCAATCTATCCACAGACTTTTGGATTCTTATGTTCTACAAGCAATAAGTCCTCTTATGAGGTTGGATTAGCATGAGGCAGTCTTGCATAGAAGTAGCTGCACAGTCATGTAGCATTGAGGCCCTGCGTTCCAGCCCCAGCATTGGAAAAACAAAACAAAACAAAATCCAAGTGAAAAGTCACTAAAAATGGGCTCACAACAACCTGTATATTTTATAAATGTTTTTTTTTTTTGGATGTGGGTGGGGAAGGAGAGCAAAATAAATAAGTTATTTACTTAAAAAAAAAAAGAAGTAGCTACACAAATGTATAAAGATAGAAGCTTGTAAAAGATTTAATGAAGGGGTATAAAAGTAGTTCTAAAGGGGAAAAGGATCAGAAAAGGACCTGTTTTTATGAAGCTGTGGTGTGTACTAAGATTTGAATGATACTTGTTTTTATGCTGTACAAAATGAAAAAGGTGTTTCACTGAAAATGGAGCAGTGTTGCTGAAGCTCCATTTTTGGAAAATAACAGTAGTATGATGGGTTGAAACAGAGTTATAGAAGGTGTTGGATTGCTGAGACTGGGAGAATGAGATACATATCTTGCCAGGAAAGGCAATGAGAAGATTTTATACTGTCAATGTGGGCATTGCCCTCTGAGGATCTGCTGAAAGCACTGGACCTTTCCCTCAAAATGTACATATGCACATTTATATAAACTTTATATACCATGGATACTATTGTTTAAGGCTGTGAAGAGCCATTAAGGAAGAGAAGGAAGGAAATGATTTGTAACATGTGCCTGCTACATACATACATTCTCACACTTAGTTTTCATAGCAGTCATAATAATGTAGATGATATTATTTCTGTTTTATAGATGAGGACTGAGGTTCCAACGGTAAATAATATAACCTTGATAATTTAAGTAGAACATGCATGTATCAGGTAGTTGAGCCAGGGTTTGTGACTTCAAAACTATGCAGTTTATGTTCTTTCAGTGCCTCCAGTGACCATGGGTAAGTTATATAACTCCTTTGAACTTAAGGTTTTTCCTTCAGATCATAAGGAGATTGTCTGGATTCTGGTGCAAGTTAAATGAGAAAAATTCATGGAAAATGCCTACTCTGTAAATTTTCAAACATGTTAGTTGTTATTAGCAGTATGTTTTTCTAGAAATATTCCTGTAAACATAATTATCTATTTAGGCTCTGTGGGTGATCTCCACTCTGGATGGTTTGTCTGTCCTCTTGATCATCATGTCTTTTCCTTATTTTCCTGACTCTCTTCCTCTGTATTATTGAGTGGGGCTTGGAGATCTGACTCAGCTTTTGTTGGTTCCTTCGTGTATGAGGGACTTTTGTTTCCAAGACTGGTATTCATGTTGCAAGCTTTCCCTGGATCTGGATTTTACTTTGCTTCCTCCCTTGACTGTGTGATTTTGAAAGTGTTTTCAAATTCAGTTCTCTTAACAGGCAAGGCTTAGGTGTCTTGGCCTGGTAGCTCTTGCAGTTCTAATCTGTTTCATTTGTGCTGTAATTTTTGATCTCTCCCTTTCTTAGGATCATACTAAAGCAGAGTTGGATGCTTGGAAGATTGTCCGAGTTAGTGAAAATTTCCGAGTGATTGCCTTGGGCTTGCCAGTGCCCAGATATTCTGGGAATCCATTAGATCCCCCTCTTCGTTCTCGATTTCAAGCCAGAGATATTTATTTTCTACCCTTCAAGGTAATTATGACCAAGATTGATTAAGTCTTTAAAATAGATTTTTGTCCACAACAAGAAATTCAATTCCTCTTCAGTAGTTAATGGACAGGAAAAAAGATATGGGATAAGGAAAAATCTCTGGGAAGTAGGATGAAAAATTTTTGTGGCATTATTTGTTTGAAAGATTTTAAAAAGATTTTTATAAAATGAATGTAACAAGAAATTATTTTTTCCTATGAATTTCTTGGTGTCTGCCTAATTAAAAGGTTTGTTTGTATCTATAAACTTTTCCATTTAATCTGTTCTAGTTTTTATTAATTTGATATATTTCTATGGCATTTTAGGATCAACTTAATGTATTATATTCAGTTGGAGCCAATGTTTCAGCAGAGAAGTAAGTGTACTTTTATAAATACTGGTCACTTAACATTGAATTTGTTTTGCCTGTTCATTGATTGATATATTCATTCCATGACTATTCTTTTAAGAATTTTTTTAGTATTGCAAGGTTTGGTATATGCTGGTGATAAAATCAGTAAAATAGATCATTGATGGTAAGAAGCGGAATTAAGATCTAGTAGAACGGAAAGAGATACAAGTAGCTTAGTTTAACCCAGTGTAGTTACATGCCACAATTTCAAAATACTGGGGCTATTTGTGGTTGAGACTTTGTGAAGGCTTCACAAAAACATTGATGTTTGAAGTGAGTCCTAAAGAATGTGTAGACTTTTGCCAGATAGAGAATGGAATGAAAGAATTACAAAGGACTTTTCTAAAAGCATGAGATATGAGAGTTTATGCTTTGTTCTTAAGGCTATAAAAATCTGCTGTCTAGAGTTTAGATTTGAGATTGAGAGGAGATAAAGCTGGCAGGGTAGATTTAGATCAGGTTGTGATAACCTCACCTATCTTGATGGGTTTAGGAAATTCATGTGTCTAGCTAATCAGCTTCTGAGTTTTAAATGGAACATTGGGATACGGGAGTCACTGTTCTTCAAGAATTAACAGTAGGGATCATTTTAGATTAATTAAATTGGCCCAGCTATTTGCTATTTAACATACTTATACTTATTTCAAAACTATTAGAATAAAATTTAATATGATTTTTTCCCCCAGAGTTTCTCAGCTTTTGTCTTTTGCAACAACTGTCTGTTCCCAAGAATCTTTTGCTCTTGGACTTCCAGATTTTCCTTTAGATAGTTTACCAGCTGCAGTTCAAATCCTGGTATGTATAAACCAAATTAATGACTCGTGAACCCAAATATAGCAAAGCAAATTTAAAAGTTAATCCTTGGGAATTAATCACTTTGGGTTTTCTTATCATATTCTTCTGTAAAAGGCCTAAGGTTGATTTGTTGTGCAGTATAGTAAACTATACAGAGCCCAAGGACGTGTTCTGAGTTTCTAAAGAACTCCTAGCTTTGGAGAAGGAGGAGGTAGACATGAGATGTAAGTAAAGTATAAAGGTGGAAGGGAAGGCTTCAGCCGTATCAAAGAAGAGGTGTACTGCAGTGAGTTAGGCCTCAAAGTTGCCCCAACTGGAGCAGTAGAGCTGGGCTTTCTTATTCTAGCACCCATTAGTCATTGGTTAATAGTTGTCCCAGGGGATGTACATTTCAAGTCATTACCCTCTCTCCCAGCTTGTGAGCAAAGCTGGTTCCAGGAGCTGAAGGGCAGTCTTCTTAAAAAGACCTGCAGAGCTGGTGTTATGGCTCAGTGGTGGAGTGCTTGCCTAGCATGTATGAGGCACTGGGTTCACTTCTCAGCACACATATAAATAAATTAATAAAATATAGGTCCATTGACAAATTAAAAAATATTTTAAAAAAATAAGATCTGCAGCAGCTGGCTGTGGGAAGGGAGACCTGAGAGGCACAAAGAAAGGATATAAAGAGACCTGAGGGGATTGGGTGGACAACAGCTGTTGTCCACTACACTTTAAAAAAGTGCATGGCAGTTAAAGGCCTTATAGGCAGAGGATGCATTCATAGGTGTTCAGACACAAAAGAACCTGGTAGGAGAATGAGAATAAGTTGTATCCCTAGAGAAAGCGTGTATGGTGAGAGAGATGTTTGAACTTGATTTTGAAATATTTCATGGGGAGTGAAGTTGCCTGGAGTTTATGATGAAGAAATGGCCTGTAAGACATTTTGAAATAGGTAGAACATTAGGTGATCAGATTTAGGTTGCAGGAAAACACCTCCCTTGGTGTTGGCATCAAGGAGGTTGGGGAGAACCTGGATGCCAAAGATATTCAAAGGCTCGTTATAACATTTAGTGAGACCCTGCAAAGGAGGTCCATCTGAAGTAGTAGCAATACTGCTTTCTTTAGTCAAGGAACTCATTTTTAAATGTTAATTGTTTTTTTGAATTATCTATTTAGACAGGAAGGGTAGTTTTTACATTGCTCTACATATCCAGAAAGGCATTTCTTCTGTTTATCCAATTTTGCATTTTTGTTTTTGTTTTTGCTCAGAACTTTGTGCTTTGAAGAGTGTCATATCTCAACAAGCTGGAAAATAGTCAAACATTCATAATTCCTTCACCTAGAAGCACCAATTACTAACATATTGCCACATTTTCTTGACCCCTTTTCCCCCCCTGAACCATTTGGAAATAAATTGTAGTATTCTATTAAATATTTAAGAATATGACTTCTAAGAATTAGAGCATTTTTCTGCATAATGAGAATACTGTTATCATACTTTACCATATTAACATTAATTCTGTAATATCATCTAATAGATAATCCATATTGAAATTTTTGTGTTGGTCCCTATCAGTAGACTCTTTATTGTGTAAACAGAATTGAAAATGCAATTTGGTTTGGAGTGAAGGATTTGAGGAAAATGAACACTTTTTTTACTTTGCACTTATAGCTATGAAGCTAAGTTAATATAGATCAGATGAACTCAGATTATGAATAAAGGAGGAACATGTGCTTTGGGATGAGTAAAGTATGCAAATGTGAATAGTTTCAGATGTAAAAGTTTACATATGAAAATTTACAGTATGTGACTACATACTGTAGTCACATGTAATGGATAATTGAAGATTCAGGTCTAGAGCTCAAGGAAGAGCATGATTAGACATAGAAGCACAGGAGCCACTGACACACAGATGAAAGGTAGGAGTGAGTTCACTTAGAAATGAATAGGAACAGGAAGAGGAGAGGAAAGAATATTTTATTTTTTTACACTTCTGGAAAATTATTGGTTATTTTTATAGGGCAATTTTAATGGCACATATACATTTAAGATACATTTTCTGTGGTTATTTTAGATGTTGCTTATTCCTATGTATTTGTGCTCCTAAATAGGATTCCTTTCCTATGATGTCAATTAAACACGCAATCCAGTGGCTTTATCCATACACTATTTTATTAGGACATGAAGGGAAGATGGCTGTTGAAGGTGTTTTAAAAGTGAGTATCTGTTTCCCTTACATTCCAATTTTCCCTTCTTTTGCCTTCCCTTTCCTTTAAATCTTCCCATTTCTCTTTTTTCCATCTCTCCTAGTTTTCTCTAGTCTCCTTTCATCTTTTTTCACCATCCCTTGTCTTCCTTTCTAGTCATGAAGGCATTGGATGCCAGCAACAAGAAAGCAGTAATGGGGAAAGAAGCACAGAGGGACTGGTGTGGAGAGATTGAGAAAATAAATAGATCGAGCACATGAGTGACTATGATAAGGATATTGAGATAATGAGAGCTGTTGGAGAAGGGATTTATAAACAAGGAAGGAAAGGGGTAATGAGGTATTGAATGAGGTATTTAATTGAAATTGGAGATATGACTTATGTTTTTGATACATATGAACAAATAGATAATATAGTATTACATTATAGTATTTTATACTACATATAGTATTATATATAGTATATATAATATTATATATATTTATATATATATATATATACACACACACACACACACCACATATATATAATATATGTAGCTCTCTTAAAACAGCCAAAAAATTGTATGATCATGCCATATACCTAGACACTGATTACTAAAAGAAATCAAAACTCCTTGGAAATAGGGTTGACTCAAGGACTGAGCCATAAAACATACAAGATGAGCATTGAATTTCTTAATGTTCCAGAGAGTAAGGAAATGTTTAACAAATGATATTGACATTTCAAAATGACAGAGGAGTCAGCTTGAAAATTTGACCATTAAAAATAAATAATGATAAAAATTAATAGAACTCGTTTCATAAAATGGGAATCCACAGATCTCTATGATATGAATAAATTATAAAAATGTGGAAGAGAAAGAAAAATCTTTTAATGTGAAATGCTTACTGATAAATAAGGAATAATATAACTAGAAAAATCACCATTTGGCATTCATCAGAATGGTGGTTGATTTAGGAAGGTGTCACCAAGGGATTTAAAGCTGGTGGATAGATCTTCGGATATGAATACAATTTCTGAATATCTCTCTACTCTATACAAAATACTCAAATTGCCTATTTTATATATATATATAAAATTTTGTATTGGGGATTGAACCCAGGGTGCCACATCCCCAGCCCTTTTTATTTTTATTTTGAGACAGAGTCTTGTAAGTTGCTTAGGGCCTTGCTAAGTTGAGGCTGGCTTTGAATTTGTGATCCTCTTGCCTTAGCCTCCCAGGCCACTAGGATTACCGACGTGTGCCACTGTGTTTGGCAGAAAGTAGTATTTTTACAGTAAACTTGAGCTTGACCAGCTGGAACAAATTGACATGATGTATCTCCTGAATGATGGGCTTTGAAGAGCATCATTCTTGGGGAGTTCCTACTAAGAATTGAGGATGTAAGTATGGCCTAGTCCTAGGTTGAAGGCCATCTTACAGAATGAAGGCCTATGTTCTTTAAAACTGTTCAGACAGTGTTCCATGTTGAAGGAGACTGAAGAGCCATGAGCTAAATGTTCCTGCACTGGATCTTGAACCAGATAGGAACAAATGACATTGTTGGTGCACTTTGTAAGAAAGATCTGTGCATTGTATAGTATTTTATTAAATTAATTTCCTGTTCTGGAAGTTTATGTGGTGATTAGATTGGCTAGAGATCTTGTTCCAGGAAGTATGAACCAGAATGTTTAAGGGTGTGTGACATCATATCTGTTGCTTGTTCTCTAATAATCAGAAAAAAATCAATACTTATGTGTGTGTTTAATTTTTGTTTCTTCTAATACAGTCTGGTTAAGGTACAGATTTCTAAGGAGTAGATAGAATGTTAACACTAAGCTGTAGTGGCTATGTATACAGGACCTTCATTTTCTGGGCTATAATTTGACGCTCTTGAGAACTTGGGATGTTTGTTTCTCCCTTATTCTCAAACCCACATGTAGTCTTTGGAAGTATTGAAGCACTCTGTATTCATCTAGTAATAGAAATGAGAAAGCAGGAGAGTGGCATAGGAGATTCTAGTTGTTTCAGTAAGATTTTTTTTTCAATAGATAGCTAGCCACAGAACCTAAGAAATAATGTTTTCATTGATTAATTATGTTTAATAGTAATAACAATAAAATCATAGAAAGCTATTTTTCATAGATAATGAGAAGTACAATTATGAATAGAACCTAAAGAAAAGCATAAGGAAGCAAGGAGTTAATAATGGTCAATAAAGAGGCAAAGGAATGTAGAAGAAAGCAAGAGAATAGAAGTGGTGAAATAGTAGTCACTGATGAAAGAGAAAAAAAGAGGTCTGCTCTGTGTGTGTTTTTGTGTGTGTGTGTGTGTGTGTGTGTGTGTGTGTGTGTGTTTGAGAGAGGAAGAGAGGGAATAAAAGGAGAAGGAGAAGGAGAAGGCGAGGATATTAAAAACCATTAGAAAATGGGGAAAGTCATACATTCAGGAAACTGCCATTTTCTGACTATGTAGTTCACTTTTAGGTTTATTCTAGGTACTGAAAAAAAAAAAAGAGAACTGGAATTTATCTTTGGTTCAATCAACATCTGAGCTAAATTGGCATTGGTCACTGAAGCAGAACATCTAGTATTCAAGATCAAAGGCTTCCTCAATTCCAGATGAGCTTCCTTAGTGCCCTCAGCACAATACCTGTGCCTTGGGAACAAGGGGGCATACTCAGGGAAGAAGAGAGTCCCAGAGGAAGTACTGATAAAATGAAGCAATGCAGAGTTACTCTGTGACACAACTGAGAAAGATGTTCAGTATCTAGATAGATCCGTTATGAACAAAGGTCTATATCTTTACAAAGAAACCACTTTGATGTGTTTCTGGTCTCTAATTTTTAAAACTACTTGTATAAATTATATAAAGTTGTAGAAAATACTTTTTAAAAAAATACTTTTATTTTATTTTAATGTGGTGCCAGGGATTGAACCCAGTGCCTCAAGCATGCTAGGCAAACACTCTACCACTGAGCCACAACACTGGCTCTGGAAAATATATTTAATGAGTTGAATTTTCTGAAGAAAATAGTATCATTTTGTTTGCCATTAATTTTAACCTCTTAAGGGTAACATGATGATGAAAGGTTTATATTACAAACAAATCACTTTTAGTTTGATTGTAGAGAATTAAAAAAAAATGGAAAAAGGTACTGGCATTAATCAGATAAAAGTGTAACTGTGTTTTCTCACCTTAATTACCTGAAGTGCTAGTTAATGCACAGATTTCTCTTGTCTGAAGCTAAAAGAATTTTCTTTTGGTAAGATTATTATACACTGATATATACATAAATATACACGTAAGGTGTAAAATATCTTTCCTTAAGAGTGGGTTGTGCCCTGAATGGTGGTACATGCCTTAATCCCTGCTACTCAGGATGCTAACACAGGAGGACTTGAAGTTCAAGGCCAGTGTGGGCAATTTAGCAAGACACTATCTCAAAATCAAAAGGGCTGGGACTACAGGTCAATGGTAAAGCACTCCTGGGTTCAATCTCCAGTTAGGGTGTGTGTGTGTGTGTGTGTGTGTATGCACACACATGTGCAGGGAGTGGAACCGTCTATTCATTGGTATAGTTTTTTGTTATCTGTTCTGGGGTGCTCTGTGTGGCCTGTTTCTTATTTAAATTTTCACATTGTTTTCCCAAAGCGTTATTTTAAGCCAATATTCACAGATGAATGAAATATTATCTATCTTCAAACAATTTTGATAAGAATGGTGAAAATTAAAGTACTTTGTTGAATTTGGAAAAATGTTTAATTAAGGAATAGAAATGTGTATTATAATAGAGCTAGTCAATAACTTTTTCTTCATAAGGGATAATTATTTTCTCTCTCAGATTGCTATAGAAATGAATGAATAGTTGTCTTTGAATTACATATCCCCCTGAATTTTAGTGTATTCACTTAATTGTGTTGCATTTTTAAAGGAAAAATTATTACTCACTGAAAATGTAGTCAGCTAAAAATCAGAGCACCTTTCTTTTTTTGAACTAGCTATAAAAATGACTAGAATAATTTTTATTCCCCAGATGGTACTTATTATGTGATGTTCATATTCTAAAAACATTTTTATAGTCATGAAATTACTTCTAGCTTTTAGTTAAAGATGCCTTAAAGATTCATTCTGAATCTACCACACTTTGAGAGTTGGCATCCTTTATCACAGTTTAGTAACAAATATATCCAGGCTTTTCTCAATATGTCTCAGCTCTCAGTTCTACGTAAGTAGAACTCCATCATAATAAGTGTTAAATTAGTATATTCCCTAGGTGATTTAGAAAGGATATGCTACTGCTTGTTCATTGATAATATAATCTGAATGATAGTTTTGCAAGAGAAACTTGGAAGGGTCTTGAATTTAATATTTTCACTCAGTTCAACAAACATTACTTGAACATTCATTATTTGACAAATGATTATATGTCTATAGAAATCTAGAGATATAGAAATGGATGCTATTTGATCCCTGCTCCTGAGGAACTTACCATAATGATGAATAGCTCTGGCCAAACATGAAGTAGCCCAGTGAAAATAGGAATTAAATGGATGTGAGAAATATCTTAGATGCAGTAATGTCTTAGATGTTACTAACTGATAAAATGTGGGTTGGGTTGGGAGACTGTGAGAAAACGTGAGAAATCAAGAATGTCCATGGATACTAACTTGGACAAACGAGTAGTTACAGCTGCCATTAGTTAATATGAGAATATGCAAGGAAGAAGCACAATTGGGGTGTAGGCTAAATAATTCTGTATGGTAGGATCTTTTTTGAATTTGAGATTTCCAGGGAGGTTTATCCAGCAGACATGAAATACAGATCTGGCTCTGGAACTTTTTTGTTATTAAAGGGAAATACTTGAGAGTTGTTAATGTGTGGGAGTTGTTTGAAAGAACTCAGGGGAGCAAGTAGAGTGAGAAGAAAAACTGGCCAAATGCTGAACCTTGGAAACACCAACATTTAAGGTATGGACAGTGGGGAAAGAACATGCAAATTAGGCAGAAGTAGAATGGTCAGAGAGAAGTAGAACAGAAAGAATATTCTGATGAAACATTAGGAGTGATAGTTTAAGAGGAAAATGTTAATAGTTTCCAGTGCTGCAGAGATATCTTATTTAAACAAGACTTTTAGATTATTCATTCAAAAAAATTATTCATTCCAAACATCCTTCCACAGGAACACTTAACTAAGGACTATTATGCTGAAAATGTAGCAGTAAACAAAACAGACAAAAGTCCCTGCCTTCATAGAGGTTGATTTTTGGTGAAAAAAGTCAATTAGTTAAGTAAATGATGCTATATGTCAATTGAGGAATACATGTGTTCACCAAGAAGGCAACACTTAGATAAAGATCTGAAGGATGAAAGCACTTCAGAAATCACTAGTACATAAGCCCTGAGCAGGAACATACCTGGGGCATTCTAGCATCAGCATAGGATAGTGTGATGGTGCAGAGTAAGTGAAGGAGAGGTAAGTAGGAGATGAAGTTAGAAGGTAGGGGAGCTCAGATCATGTAAGGTTCTGTAGGCCATCAAGGAGATTTCTGCTTTCAGTCTGAGTATGATGGAATACCATTAGGAATTTTTAAATTTTTTTTGGCAGTCTTGGGGATTGAACCCAGGGATACTTTACCACTGAGCTATATCTCCATCCCTTTTTAAAATTTTTTACTTGGAGATAAGGTCTAAGTTGCTTAGGGCCTTGCTAAGTTGCTGAGACTGGCCTTAAACTTGTGATCCTCCTGCTTCAGCCTCCCAAGTTGCTGGGATTATAGGTGTGCACCACCTTGCCTGGACCATTAGGAGGTTTTGAGGAATGTCTTATATGACTGATCATTCAGCAGCCCTGTTTTGGTTGCTAAGTAGTGAATAGACTGTGAAGGGTAAGGGCAAAAGCAGAGAAAAACCAGTTAGCAGATTGTTATAATAATTCAGTTGAGAGATTATGGTGATTTTGACCAGTTATGAGTTGGTAAGAGGTAGTTGGATTTGGGTTATATTTTCAAGGTAGAGTTAACATATCTGCTGAAGGGTTGGATGTAGGGTTAAGACAGGAAGTCAAGGATAATTTCAAAGTCTTTGGACTGAGGAACTGGAATGATGAAGTCGGAGAGAGAGAAAATGGGAGGAAGGTTAAAGACCTGAATGTTGGACATGTTTAATTGGGGACACTTAATAGCTATCTGAGGGGAGATAATAAGAGGGAAGTTTGCATATGCCAGTTAGGAACTCAGGAGAGAGACTGGAAAGAGAAAACAAGGAGTCATGAACATATAGATGGTTTGTAAAATCATGACTGGATGAGAGTATTGAAAAAGTAAATATAGATAAAACTATATCTAAACCCACTTGGAAACCTCAAATTCAAAGGACTCCACTGTATGGAGTTATTTAGTATCCACTCCAAATGTGTTTCTTCTTTCTACTTCCTCTCATTAATGGCATCACTATCTTTTCACTTTTCCAAGCTAGAACTCATAAACACTCTTGATTTCTCACTTTCTTTCACAGCCCCCCAACCTGCCCTATTTTTTTAAATCAGTTAATGATATCTATCAAATGATCCATTCCTGAAGTACTCTAATATGCACTGTTTAGGAAGATGAAGGAGAAGTCACAAAAGAGACCAAGAAGGAGGAATCAATGAAATAGGAAGAAAATTAATTTATTAAATTTGGCAAATATGATATTATTGGTAGAATTATTGAGAACAGTGTTAGTAAAGTGGGAATGTAAGCCATAAATTCGTGGGCATAAGAATAAGAAAGATGAAGCAGTGATTATAAACTACTTGTAAAATAAGCAATGGTGAGCAGAAGGAAGAAGTTGATGGGTTGCTGAAGGATGATGTAGAGGGATGGGGAAGAGGGTGGTAGAGACGGGGAGACTATTAAAGCACAATGCATGCATGCATGGAATTGTTACAGTAAAATCCATTGATTTGTACAATTAACATTACTTGATATTTATAATAAAAAAGGATGATGTCAAGTGAAGAAATGACTGTTTCTTGGAATGGGAAAAATAAACATGTTTTTAGGAAGTAGGGATGACATTTGTTGAGTACATGTAAAATATGGCTTGGGCGAGGTGAGAAAGGACATTTCCAGAGCACCATTGTACTTGATTTAAAATGATATAAGAACTTATTTTCTATCCAGAAACTGTACTGATGGGATTGCTTTAATTTGAAATTGAGAAAGACTGGTGGCTTTCCATCTACTGTCACTTAAAGCAGAAGTCCTTTTTACTGAGAAAATGGGAAAAGAAATAAATATTGATGAAATTATAGATGATTTTGAGGATTAAAGAAAAAATATTTTCATTTTATTTTTCTCATTTAACAAACCTTACATGACTATTGACTAGGGTAATTGTAGGTTGTAGAGATTTTGGAGAGAGCCAAATAGATTGAATAGTTCTCTAAAGAGACTTACATTCTAGTAAGGAGTAGAGAAGTCTAAGGCACTGTTGTAGGTGGGAGAAATGTCTAGATTGCCTGCCAAAAAATGGGATAGAGGACTTAAACTGACTTCTTAGGAAGCAAGTAATGGTTTGTATTAGTTGCTGAGGTGCTTTGGGAAAATAGCCCAGGAAAGATTGGAGCCACATATTTGTTTAGTTGCTAATCAGCATGGTCTGGATAATTTCTCTTTTGCTGCTCAATAGCCTAGAAAAATCTAGGAAGAAGGTTCAGCATAGTGGGTCAGGATTGGGAATTATGAGGATGAATGCCATTGCCTTATTACTAACATCTATGTGATTTACATTTCATTCTGTATAATTATAAATCACATTATAAATAATGTAATCCCAAAGAAAGTTAGTTTGAAATGTTAGTTCTGTTTAATTGAAATTAAAGAATTCATAGGAAAAGCCCATAAAGTAGTAAAGTAAATAAATGCTGATTTTCTACATATTACTAGCATGTAGTCTGAAACATTTTATATTCCTCTTGTACTCCTTTATTACTTTTCTGATTAATAGTTTCTCTAAATTTCTTATGTCAGCAAATGATAATTCACCTTGCAACTTGAGATCTTTTACTATTCAAGTTGAATCTAGCCTTTTTCTATTCCACTAGCTTATTTAGCTTAATTATTTATAAAGATATAACCAATGTAGTAAATGATTCTTTGCATTTGTATTTATTTCAGGAATATGAGTGCTCTAACATCAATCCTGTATCAACTTATAATGACATTATTATAACTGGGGTAAAAGCATACTATTTCCTGTCATTTTATAAATTTTAAGGATGATTTTAGTATCTATCACCTGTATACTTGGTTTAAGTAGAATGGTATTATTAGAAAGTAGAAAAAGTTCTCATTAATTTTTTTTACTTCTATTTTTATAGAATTGAAAAGTTTTGGTTCTAATTAGATGAATCTAATAGATATCCAACATTGATTCTAAAATCAAATGTAAATTTTAGGGCTGGAGATAGAGCTCAGGGGTAAACACTTGCTTAGCATGCATGGGGTGCTGGGTTGGATCCCAGGTACTGCAAACAAACAAACAAACAAAAAGTAAATTCCATGACTTTTACATGATTTTCTTATAATTTTACAGCGTTTTGAACTCCAAGATTCAGGAAGCTCTCTGCTTCCTAAAGAGATTGTTAAAGTGGAGAGAATGACTGAAAACCATGTCTCCCATGCTTGTGTGACTATTCAAATTGCAGGACAAGAGGTTACCATTAAGGTAATGAATCACAATTTCTTCATTTTAAGATGCACCTGGTTAATATGGCCTAAATTAGGCATATGACCCTCTCATAAGTCTTATTTGGCTCTGTAGCAACACATCTATATCTCTGTATCTCCTTTCTTTATTAGGATTGATTATTTATACTATTTATTGTGTCTCCTTGATATATATTATACTATTTAAATCCCCCAATAATCTTGAACGTAAACTTTATTATCACCATCTTATAGGTTAGACAACTGAGATGTACCTTGAATAGTGGATTCATCCATGGTTATAATCTAGGAGGTGGCACTGCTGGTAATTCTAGACAAGGTCACTTTGCACTACACTCTTCTGTCTTCTTCAAATGATAATCTATGGTAGAAGCAGATGAATAAGGACTACATTGGAATGAATGGCAATAGGGACCTAGAGAGGGAAGTAATACAGGAATTCTGGAGGAGTAAGGAAAGCTTCAGAGATGAGGTGAAACTTGAGCTAAGTTTTGAAGAATGACATAGAATTTTCCCCATGGCCCAGGGATAGAAAGGTGATAGGACACTGGGAAGTTTAAACAGAATGTTCAAAGTCATGAGGTATGAGCCAATCTTCATTATTTGCTTGACTTTGGTAAGAGTTCACTAACTTTGTTGATTCCTGTACCTTTTGTTAACTTTTCATGTTAGTACCAGGATGATCTTTCTTAAATGCAAATTTGATATTGTTTCCAAACTTAAAATTATTTAGGGTTCATGTTGTATATGTCTGATCAAGTCCCAAGTCCTTAGAAGAACATGACACCCAGGATAATGATAAGGAAGAGGATAAAAAATAAAAGAAGATCATAATCTTACTCATATAGAATCTAAAAAAGTTGATCTCAGAAGTTGAGAGTAGAATAGTTACTACTAGAGGTTGGAGAAAGGGGGAGAGAGGAATAGGGAGATGTTGATCAGTGAAAACTACATTACAGTTAGACAGAAGTTAGAATTTTCTGATGTGCTATTGTATAGTAGGGTGACAATAGATACTGATAATGTACTAAAAGTGAGGAGGAAGATTTTTTGAGGTTTTAATCATAAAGAAATAATAAATGTTTAAGGAGATAGATATATTTAACCTGATTTAACTATTATACAATTTATAGTTCATTGAAACATCATATAGTAATCCATTAATATGTATAATTTTTATGTTTTATGTATCAGTTAACAATAAATTTAATTTTTAAGAAAGTTCCCTAGGGAATGAAAGAGTAATCAAAGATGAAAACCAAATGAATTGAGACCACAAAGAATAAGTATAGAAATAAAAGCTAAAAAAAAAAAATAAATAAAAGGAAAAGTAGGTGGGAAGCATGGGAGGAGAGGTTTTTTTGAATAGATGCTTCTGAGGGTAAACAAAGATAAGAGTAAAAAGAATTTGTGGACATGGGTTTTGGAAATCAGGAGGTCAGTGGTGAGTTGGAGATTTTGACATGGGTAGATTTTAAATTCCGTATTATGTCTGCAATTTGAAAAAAGGTTCATTCCCCACTAGAGATTTTTTTATGAGTTATAAAGGCAAGAAAATGACATGATTCTTATGTACATATGTGACAGCATGGGACTTTAATTTTAGAGGAATGATTAATTTGGGTGTTGGATAATAAGATCATCAGATCTCTGAATGGGAAAATAATTGCTGCTCTATATCCTTATATCAGAGAAAACATTTGGCATTTGTTTTTTTGGTATTGGCTAACTTCGCTTAGCATTATCTTCTCCAATGTCATCCATTTACCTGCAAATGCCATGATTTTATTCTCTTTTATTGCTGAGTAAAATTCCAAAATATCAATAGCTACTATAACTAAGTGTAATCCTAGCATCTCAGGAGGCTGAGACAGGAGGATCTTAAGTTCAGAGTCAGCCTCAGCTACTTAGTGAGGTCCTAAGCAACCTTTTCTCAAAATAAAAAAATAAAAGGGGTTGGGACATGTTTTAGTACTTTAACACCCCTGGGTTCAATCCCTGGTACTGAAAAGACAAAAAATAAAACAAAACAAACTTTGAATTGAGGAAGGAATTAAGTGTATGTGGGAGCTTTTATGTGGCAGCTACTTATGTCCTTTAAGTTGCTAATATTTTGAGAAAAGCATATGAATATTTTATCTACCCCTTTTAATTTGCAGGTGCCAGCTGGGATCAGACCATTTGGTCAATCTTGTGCATCAGACCAATTCATACGGACTTTAAGTCATAAGCAGCTACTGGCTGAAATGATGCAATCTCATATGGTTAAGGACATATGTTTAATTGGGGGAAAGGTAAGAATGGCAGCTTTTTTGCAAACTTTTATTTCCTGGCTTTTCTTGTTTTGATTCATCCTTTGAATGATGTGTTTCCATTTATAGGGTTGTGGAAAAACAGTCATTGCCAAGAACTTTGCTGATACCTTAGGATACAACATAGAACCCATTATGCTATATCAGGTATAATATTCATCTTTACCACTTGATCTATAAACATGTATGTTTGGCCTATTAGTAGTTGTTACCTATTTTGAATATTCATATAGATAAATAACTAAAATAGCAATCAAGTTAGAGTATAATTATACTTATTTGGAGCTTTTGAAAGTACATTCTAGGATACTCGTTTTGTGTAACATATCAGAGATCTGTTTTTTTAAAAAATTCATTTTATGTGTATGCACACACATACACAGAGTACATTTACTAGTTATTTGGAAATAAATGAAGTTGGTTTGGGCTGCTGTGGAAGAAAATTAGGTATTCACTGAGTGGATTATTATAATTTTTATTGTCATAAAATATATATAACATAAAATTGGCTATTTTATTTATTTATTTTTATTTTTATATTTTAAATTTTCCAATAAAAAGACCAAGTGGTTGAATGGATTTCCAAAAACAAGATCCAACCACATTGATCTTTTTTTAATTGATTTTTTAAAAAATAAATGACAGCAGACTACATTACAATTCTTATTACATGTGTACACACAATTTTTCATATCTCTGGTTGTATAAAAGTACATTGACACCAATTCATATCTTCATACATGTACTTTGGATAATGATGTCTATCACATTCCACCATCCTTGCTAATCCCCTGCCTCTTCCATTTCCCTCCCACCCCTATGCCCTATCTAGAATTCATCTATTCCTCCCATGCTCTCCCTCCCTACCCCTCTATGAGTCAGCCTCCTTATATCAGAGGAAACATTTGGCATTTGTTTTTTTGGGATTGGCTAACTTCACTTAGCATTAACTTCTCCAGTGCCATCCATTTACCTGCAAATGCCATGATTTTATTCTCTTTTATTGCTGAGTAAAATTCCATTGTGTATATATATGCCACATTTTTTTTTTTTATCCATTCATCCACTGAAGGGCATCTAGATTGGCTCTACAGTTTAGCTATTGTGAATTGTGCTGCTATAAACATTGATGTGGCTGTGTCATGTAGTCTTTTGGGTATAGACCGAGGAGAGGGATAGCTCTCTAAAATTTGCCATTTTAGTCATTTTTGTATAAGTACAGTTAACTGGCATTAAGTACATTGACAATGTCATGTAATAATTGCCACTTTCTTTTCTAGAACTTTATCATCCCAAGCAGAAACTTTATATTCAATAAACAATAGCTCCCGATACCCTACACCTCTCCCAGATCCTGTTAGCCTCTATTTTACTTTCTGTCCCTATAAATATGTTTATTTTAGGTGTCTCATATAAGTAATCAAAATTTTTGTTCTTTTGGTTTACTTTATATATATATTTTCAACATTTCTCTGTGGTATAGTATGTTTAAGAATTATGATCTTTTTATGGCTGAATAATATTCTGTTGGATGTATCTACCACTTTTTGTTATACATTCATCTCTTGATAAAACATTGGCTTATTTCTATCTAATGGCTATTATGAATACTTCTATTATAAATGATTGTGTACAAAAATGTGCTTGAGTTCCTGCTTTGAATTCCTTCAGTTTATACTTGAGAATATAATTGCTGGAGCATATAGTAATTCTGTTTAACTTTTTGAGGCACCAATAAGTGGTTTTCCACATTTTCTGTATCATTTTATATTTGACCAACAATGCATGACATCCTGGACATCTATACTCAGCTTTTGTTTTTGTTTTATAATAGTCATTCTAGCGAGGGTGAGGTGATAGCACGTTGTGGATTTTATTTGTATTTAACATAGGAGTAATGATGTTGTGTATCTTTTTATGTATACATATTGGCTATTTGTATATTTTGGAGAAATGCTTATTCTTGTTAAGGTTTTTGCCCACATTTTAATTGGGTTGATTTTTTTTTGTTGAGCTATTGGAGTTTTCATACATTCTTTATATATGTGTGTGTGTGTGTGATATATATATATATATATATATATATATATATATATATAGTTGATGGGCCTTTTTATTTTATTTATTTATATGTGGTTCTGAGGATTGAACCCAGTGCCTCACAGATGCTAAGCAAGCAGTCTGCCACTGAGCCACATCTCCAGCCCTATACATTCTAAAAATAGAATCCATTCTCAAATATATGATTTGCAAATATTTTTTTCATTCTGCTGGTTGTCTTTTGATCATCTTGACAGTGTTCTTTGATTCACAAAAGTTTTTAACTTTATTGAAGTTCAATTTGTCATTTTTCTTTTGATGCCTGTGTTTTTAGTGTTATTTTCAATAAATTCAGCTCAATGGCCGGGATTTCCCCGTATTTTCTAACAGGTTTACTGTTTTCTGTAGTACATTTAGATTTCTGATCTATTTTGAATTAATTTTTGTATAGTGTGTAAGACAAGTGTCTACCTTTAATTTTTTATTATTTGGTTATCCAGTTTTCCTAGCACCAATGTTGAAAAGATTGTTCTTCTTCCATTGGAATTCCTGGCACTCTTGTTAAGAATCAGTTGAGTATAAATGTAAGGTTTTATTTCCAAGCTTTGTATTCCATTGGTCTATGTGTCTATCCTATGCCAATACCACACTGTTTTAATTACTGTAGTTTTATAGTTAAGTTTTGAAATCAGAAAGTGTCAGACGTCTACTTATGTTATTTCTTTCCCAGATTGTTTTGACTATTCAGGGTCCCTTGAGATTCCATATAAATTTTATGAGAAGTTTTATTTTATTTCTGCAAAAATAAATGCCATTGATATTTTGAGAGAAGTTGTATTCAGTCTGTAACTCTTTTTGGATAATATTGTCATTTTAATAGCTTAGTCTTTCAATCAGTGAATATGGTTGTCTTTTCATTTATTTTTATCTTATTTCATATCTTTCAGCAAAAGTTTTACAGTTTTCAGTGTATACATCTTTTGTCTCCTTGGTTACATTTATTCTAGGGTATTTTTGAATAGATTATTTTGGTAGATGTACATGTTGCACATAGCATGGAGAAAAAGCAAGCCTACAGCTGGTATTCTTACAGAGTGAAGTTTTCCGCCATGTATTTTTTTGTGATGATCTCTCCTAACATATTTTTATCCTGCTAATATTTTGATGCTGTAAGTCAATCTTTGGCTGATTGTTGTAGCTTCTTACTTAAAGCAGAGTTTAATTTTATTCTTTGAAAGATTTTGAAACTGAACGTGATACTATTTATTTACATTTTAGGATACCTTTTGTGTTTTTAGGTTATTCTTTAGTCATTAGGTTATTCTTTTGAATTGTTTCTAACATTAAATATATTTATGTTAAAAATGTTGTTTCTGAAAAATAATATTGAAACTAGTTAGTTTTTGTGGCATTAAATCAGAAATTTTTTTATTGCTCATATTTCAAATTATTCTACTGAGAATATTCCTTTCATATGGCTTTAAGGTAGTTTGTGCCTACTTACTAAATTGGCCAGAGTTTAGATGGAATTGTAGTTACATGATACTCCTAACTTTGGGGCTGTAAGTACAGGAATATGTTATAAAGGTCCATGTAAGGATTCTTCCTAAAATTAATCCTTTCCTTTGCTTAATTTAACCCATTCTGAGCATCAAGTACCATTTAGGATTTTGACTTGCATTGAAAACAGTTTGGGAAACAAAAGAGAAAGCACCCTGTCTCTTTATAAAGCTGTGGTGAATCCATACCTCTACTATTTTATATAGTTTTCACTATCATATTTCAATAAATACAAAAGCATAAAAAGGAGGTTATGTCGTTAAAACAATCAACTGATTGAAGGACTTAAAAAGTTTCAAATATTTACTAAGAATCACTATGATCTTAAAAGATGAAGTTTGTGAAGAATCATATGTGAAGGTGATGAAATCAAGAAGAATGAGTTAAGGCAAAGAGATTTAAACTATCAGGGACCCCATGTATGTTTAAAGTAAAGTATAGGAAAAAGAAAATATATTTTTAGATTCTATAACAGGTTGTGAATTTGAGGATCCCCCAAAATATATTTTGAAATGAGCTTTTATAACTTGATTCTAGGTCACCTAGATTTTTTAAAATAGGAAGTAAGGATATTTGAGGGGATATTTCTCTTAATAAATCTATGGAAGATGCCATGATAAATACCTTGACCTTTTACATAATCATGCTTCTTTGGCAGAGATCATAAGATAAGAAAGTTGTCTTTGTATGCTCACTCATCTTTATTTCCCCTTCCATAGTTCATGTCAGAAATAATCTGAGGACAGCACTTTCTCTTTTCACCAACCTATTCCCTGTCAACTTTCTGATATCCAATAACAATGTTTTTCTGCCAAACATCAATGGGGAAAACTTTGATCATCAGTATATTTTGCAAAACAAATTAAGGTTTTAAATAATAGAGTCTAATTTGCCTTCAGGTGCCATTACTTTGAACTTACATTGACAAGACATTTTGAAGAAAATACTTCTTTTCTCTTTGATTCCATTCTAGCTTACTATTGTTTATAAATTTATGAACATGAATATTTTCTTCACATTAAAATAAAACTTTCATTCTAATGAAAGCTGGAAATAGTCTATACACCTTATCAGTTTTTTCAAACAGTACTGTTCCTGTGCTGGGTTTCTATAATCAGTTTATGGTGATTTTTATACTATATGCTTGAGCTGTGAAATGTTTGTTTACCTCACCCTGCTGTTCATTAAAAAAAAAAAAAAAGAATCAAGGGGTTGGGAATGTAGCTCAGTGCTAGAGCATTTGCCTAGCATGCTTAAGGCCCTGGGTTTAATCCCCGGGGATGGGGGATGGGGGAATGAACCAAGGAAAAATGTATGTGAGGTGTATCTGATCATTCAGAAATTCAGAATCTCTTAACTACACTGAAAAACAAAAAACAAAAAAACACTAAATGTACCCTTCCATTGAGGATGTTATTTTAATATGTGAAAGGCTTAGTTTAAGAGTCTGAAGAACAGATTTCTTTTTTACATACTTTTTTATATTTATGTTTTTTAGCTCTAAGTGGACACAATACCTTTATTTTATTTTTATGTGGTGCTGAGGA